TCAAGAAAATTACCATATAAGGAAATTTTCAAGAAATCAGTGGTGAACGGGTGAGAGTTTTTTTTTTTTTTTTTTTTTTTTTTTTTTTTTTTTTTTTTTTTTTTTTTTTTTTTTTTTTTTTTTAATTTTTTTTTTTTTTTTTTTTTTTTTTTTTTTTTTTTTTTTTTTTTTTTTTTTTTTTTTTTTTTTATAATAGAATGGCATTAGATGTATCAGTTTTATTGAATAATTATTAATTTTATATATATCAAACATCTTCTATTGTATTACAATAACTAAATGCTAGCCTATCTACTTTTATTACTCCAGTGATACTAATGCCACTCTTAAAGTGGGTTCATGTATTTTTGGGGGGAACCTATCTAGGGGATGGAAATCCTACCACTAGTTTTAAACCATCCAACCTACCGGTCTAAATTTGTATTAGGGCAGTGGATACTGCTAACTAATTCCTTAAAATTACTTATCACATCACACCTTTTCGCTCACGTAGCTCATGCTTTAACACAAGCTCTCGCCAAGTGTGTTCCCTAGTGAATTGCTCCAGTTTTGACTGCTGGTTGGCATCTAGCTACCAAATTCAGAGGTTCTTTGGCCAAGTGGGGTACAACTTCTTAACGGATCGTCCTTTTCAGGTGATTTTTATCTTCCATCATCCTTTATTGGGACTACGTTAATCTCCTGGTAGACATTCTATGCAGATCTGGTTGGCTTAAGCTATCAAATCTAGGGGCATAAATGTCAAGCAGTGCGCAACTCCTCACAGAGCCAACAATCGGCATGTCTTACAAGAGTGGTAACGATATAGTGATCTTCTTCAAAGCTTCCTTATTCTATAGTTGGCAGTAAAGGAATTGGCAGCTTGGGATTGGTTAAGATGAAGTACAGCCCAGTCTGTATATTCAAATGTATGGGTGGTTCTATAACACTTTTCATAAACGATCATTGTAATACCATCCGGACGATTGTCACACCACTACGCCTTTAACGGGAAGATCACAATCTCAACGCCTGTCAGATCGGCATGTGAAACGGCTTCTTATGAGAAACAGCACATAATTGGTTATGGTGCCAGATACTATATTAAGTCTATTTAACCACCTTTACCTGGGGTTGAATCAGTATCTTGTGATTTGACATGTGGAGCACTAATCACTGTGCTATGGATCCACAGGTCTTTAATTTTTTTAAAATATTCTATAAATACTTATAATTAAATTAATTTATAATAAAATAAATATTATATATATAAAGCAATTATATCTAATAAAATATATTATTTTAATTTAAATATTTTTTAATATTAAATTAAATTTACTTAAGAATTATTAAAAAACTTGTAGAGTTTTATACTTTTAAATAAAATAAATTAAAGATTTGTAAAAATTTCAGGATTTTTATTATTAAAAATTTTTTTATATAATATTTAATTAATTATAAATTAATTTTTAAATAAAGTCTTATATTTTATACTTATTTTCAATAAAAAAAATAATAATATAATTCGAATATTTTTTTATTATAAAAACATTTTTTTTTAATATTAGATTAAAAAAAAAACTATTTATACTACAATATTTTTATAATTTAATTATTGTTTTTTGAATTATATTTTCATAAAAGTAATAAATCAATAATATTTTTATTAAAAAAAAAATAATAATATATAAAATTTTATGGTTTTAATATGATTTTTTTATTATAACAATTATATAATTATTCTTATAATATCTATATTTTTATAATATTTATAGATTAATACTAACTATTTATAAACTATTATTTATTTTATATTATTTACTTTACAGTATATTATATAAAATTAAATAAAATTAATAAATTAATATTAATTTATTTTACAATTAGAGATAAAGATATTTAACATAATAACTAAAATATTTGTTTAATAAAAAAAAGTTTTGTATTTTATATTTTTTGTTATAAAAAAAAAAATAAAAAAAAATTAATTTGAAATAATAAAATTTATAAATATTTATTTTTTAAATACAATAATAGGAAATTTAAGATATTGTACATTATCTGTTTTTTTTTTATTTTATAAAAAATTTGCTTTAATATTTACTTAAATATTTACTTAAATATTTTATTTATAATATTAAATTATTTCTTGGTTTAAAATAATATTTTTAAAAAAATAATTTTAATGTACCATTTTTTTATTAATTTATTTAAATAAAAAAAAAAGAAATTGAACAATTAAAAAAAGATTTTTTTTTTTAAAAAAATTATTATTGCAATACATTATAAATAAACAAGCAATAGATTACCGTATTTGTTATCTCTCGTGATGTTTTAATAAAAATTAAAATAAAATGGGTTTTGAATAAACTTTAATAATATACAGTATTATCAAAAGTTTTTACAAAGTAATTTCTATTTTATACAGCATATACTGTAGATTTTACGATATACAGTATATTTAAATAATTTCTTTGTTTTATCGATTATTTAATAAATGACGAACAAAAAAAAACTCCAATATTTATCTGAAACATTTATTTTTTATTATGGTTATTTTTTTTTACCTTTATCTGTAATCAATATATGTATATGCATATATGCATACACAACCGAATTTGTAAGCGCGAGACCATGTGTTACAGCGAGGGTTCGGATCACGTTTTTATATACAGTGCTGATTATAAAGGTAAAATGATAAGTTGTGCAAATGGTTTTATCCGTCCAAGACAAAGACCATGGACAACAAATTGGGAGTGTACGCCATATGACACTATGCATAAGCGATCACGTGCAACATGATATTACCGAAGCGCCTTCTTCACAAACTCTCGTGGTTTTCAAATCGTACCAATTACTGTTTCTTGTGTTTTCACGCACAGCATAGCATTTCTTTGGCAGGACTATAATTCTTTCGTAAATGATTGAATCAAGCGCGACTTATAGTAATATTATGATTTTAGTCATAAAAGTAATCGTTTCGTGCAACGAATGAAACTCCTTTATAACATTTGTGTTTATGTTTATTGTATTCCAACAGAAGCCGCTTCGCCGTTTATAATTAACATTGTATATGATATTTTATTAAAAAGTTTATAAATACCATCTCTTTTCTGTTCATCAGATAACCCTTCGACTTAAGGATCTCACGATGCTTGACAAAAACGAAAATTCTTCAGCCCCAGACGATCACTCAGTAGAAAGGACGATCGAAATCGCTCGACGTGTCCAACAGGACAGAGAACAGATAGAACAGGTTGCTGTTCAACTGATACCTTTGTCAATCCAAGGAACATGTTTTTGTGATCCGTCGTCCACGAATCTACCAACCAGTTTCGATTTTTTCGAGGGGTCATTATCATTTACTTGAGAATAATACCCATAGTCTTGCGAGCTGACGAAGGGCCACTGAAATACCGAAATATTATACCGAATATTTATTCGTTAATTATTTCTGCACGGTCAGAACTTCTAAATTCAATCTCTTGTACGAGTAATATTTTACTATCTTCTCGGAGTTTAATCTCCTTTGTATTGTTTCTATGGTTCTTTTTTGAGACCCTCCCCCGTTGTATCAATAGCATTTCTATTTTATTTTTCGGATTCTCGACCACTCATTCTACCAATAATCTTATGCATTTTAGCATCGGAACTTTTCCGCCATATTAATATTATTTCACACTCACTTCGGAATATCAATTCCTTACATTAGTCAATAGCGTTTCTTCGTTCGTACAATTCAATTTCAACGTTTTTTCGGAATTTATAATTTCTTTTCGAATCCTAGTTTTTCTCGAACTTTAATCCCGACATTCTTAAATAAACGCATTTTGTTTCCAAAATTATTGGAATTCCATCAATAGAACAGATAGTCTAGAATATTTCCAAAAAAATTCCTTTCTTTACAATCTTCTGCGCCGTCGTTTTCGTTTATCCTTTTGGATGTAATGAATAATAATTTAATAAATGAATAAATAACTTTTTAATTGATCGTTATGAAAGTAAATAAAGGAAACACGATAGTAACGATGTCATGGTTATTTCGTTCTAATTGTCCACCCTACAATTCACAGGCTCTTGCAAATATAATTTTGTGACTAAAAACATACATACATAGAATGACATGTCTTGAATCAAGTTTATATTTAAATGACATATTATGCAACAAAGTTATGCACACACGAGGGTGTATTCTATTACCTTCGTAAAATTTTGTTTTCAAACATTGTTAGGTTTTAATATCGTCTGCTTAGATAGTCTCAATTTTCGGTCGCAAAAATAGATAACTTCTAGAAGTGTTTCCAAGGTAATGACGATCAGATATGTTCACATGTTCAAATTGTCTATGTCTAAGTTGAGCCCTGTTTGTGAAAAAGGTGTAGTCATTTACTCCCTGAAAAAGTAAAATCCAACACCCAGTGTAATACAACCCTTTGTTTTCCCCCTTGCATACATTAAATGCAAATGAGTCAATGGATGAATGAATCAATTCAATGAACTTTATTTCTTACATTATAAGAAAGACCATTTTAGAGAACCTTGGAGATAAGCCCGAGTTCTGTATACGGTATGTTGGCCATCCTCGTAGCGCGTATATAGTAAAATGTATGTACGCATTGGCCGTAAAGAAAACAATAGATTTAAATGAGGATTAAGTTATCTCCTATGCATTTCCTAAATTACCATATTACACATTTCGTTTGTACTCCACCCCGGTCTTAATAACGCCACGAGGAGCATCGTGTATATGCAACCATTTCATAGTGTTTAATTTGCGCATTGACACAAAGACCCCTATGCGTTTCAGGACTTTTTCTTTGTTTCATGGCATCATCTGTCGATGAATATTTAAGGGTGATAATTCGTAACAAAGCATTGTGTTAGTAAATATGCATACATGTTCTTACGTAATTAATCTGTTATCAATTATGCGTTTACGTGTGACATAAAAATTATTCTCGTGTATTTGGCATGCGCGCTTTTGAAGAGAACATTGGTAATTCTTTTGGAGTTGAATGAAATTTCGGAACGCAATTTTAGATTCATCATTCGAAGTAGGAAAAATTCGGGTTCCAAAAAAACTATTACCCGTAAAAATTACACCGTCATTAAAAACTTATTAGACTCGCGCGTACGATTCTGTTCTTGTGCTTTTGACTTTTTAACCGTGACATTATCATCATTTGTTTATTGCCTACCATTTTTTAAATTAGTTATTAACAAAAACCTGTTCTCAAAAACTTATTATCCCATATACAATCGAATATTTCTATCCGTACGTTTATAATTTCTACCACAAAATGCAAGAAGGACTTCTCTATTCAATTAATACAGATAATAGAGAAACATTATCATATTTTGGAACCGAGACGAATCAAGAAAACGAAGTTAGATTCGCACAATTTATAGAGCAAATTCTATCAGGTGGACCCTTTATTTAGGTCTTCGCGATTGTTCTTGAGTTACAGTATATTACACTCTCTATGTTATATGCTAAAAATCTCATGTAAATTTTTTATTCATCTCAATTTCTCCTTGCATCTCTTAATGACATGTCATCTTCAAGTAGACGTGTTTAAATGGGTTGTTATTGTTTTTTTTTTATCTTCTCTTATGTCCTACATCTCGAGGGAAGTTAGTAAAGTAGTAAGCTACATTGATGGGAAATTCACAAAGAATCGAGTGAATTCTGGATTTTAGTTTCTACGTTATATGCGGATGTGGTTATTATCTCACAATCATATGGGCATTAAAACTTGTAATAACTTCCAATTAATTAATGTTCGATTCTGTTTTCGTAATTTATTCTTTTCTTGGTTATTTTAAAAGATTTTTATTTTTCTAATTGCATTTTTTTACGAATAATTCATACCATTACCATTCGACTGTAATAAGTTACAACTTTGGTTCATAATCAAATAAAATCTATTCTTTTTATATTTTTAATAATTCGATTGGTGTTTATCAATAAGTGCTTTAAGAAGTCGAATTTTTCGGATTCCCTACTATCTTAGAATAGAATTTAATTTTTTGAAAAATGCGTCCCATCTTAATGACTCGACGCGTCAAAGTACGTTCATCAGGATCCAAATTCTGCGTCTGCCCACCACCTCCAGTCCAATTTACATCAGAGGAGCACGCTTTGCCCGACACCAGTAAACCTGGCGATTAAACCCCGAAACACATACTATTTTCAACCTGCTCAACGTCATTATTATCCATTACAATCTGGGTATCAAGGGATAACCACAGAAAACCATTGACGACATAATTAATTCGATACTCAGCGATGAAGAACATGTCAAGTACGAATCCAAAGTGTTTCTCTCTCTTATGACCTCATATTTCCCAAAGCGTACCGCAACTCATTCCCAAAACAGTTTCATCAGGCTCGTATAACCGCTGAGCAGGGGCCAGATTGGTGCGCGTACCAAAAAATTGCATGATAGGATGTATCCAAATTATATATGCCATTGTGGGAGCAGCAGAATGTTCGAAAGAGATGTTCGATCACGTTCTTTATGCCAATCTCTCAGGACCCTCAACCATAGTATTGCAGATCGAGACCCGATAAGCATATCACTAGTGACCTTACTTCGCATTACTCATTTAGACCATTAGTTGAATGACTACAAATCAATTCGTTATTTTTTAAGACAAATCTCTCATGGATTCGGTTGATACAAATACCAGAATTTGATTTCCGATATTTATCAACGTCGTCCTCTATATTTACCACAATATCCCATTATATATCAAAGATCACTTTTTCGTGATCATAAACTTTTTTTGTCATAAAACAAATTTATTTTCGTTCTCGTCACATCATCCTGCTATTCATATTCTTTTCAATTTAATCTGGCAAATCAAAACATGTATATGGTAAATAAAACATTGACACCGACAAGTAAAACAAAGTAAAATGAATAATGGATAATGGATAATAAACTGTTTATATACGTTTTTAAAAAGCTATTTAAAATTCTTTACTCATAAAAGATTTCTAATTTTCTAATAAATTGAAAATACAGTACGGTGCAAAAAAAAATGAAAATTTATAAACATATAGTTAAATATCTTATATAAACAACTTTACTTAACTGTTTAATCAATATATTGAAATTTTTTCACTCTTTTTTATATACAGTATATAAAAAGTGGTCGGAAATAGGCAAAAAAAAAAATTTTTTTATAAAAATATAAGATTATATAAGAATTTTTTGTAATCTTATTTTTGAACCAAATTTTTCGATGACGGCTTTATCTTTAAAACAAAATATATCAAAAAATTGTTATTGTTAATTTAAAATTATTTAATTGGGTTTTTTTATTATATAAACAATTATTTAATAAATTATTAATTAAAATATAATTATAAAAAAAAATTTCATTTTTTTTGCACCATTCTGTATATAATTTTTTAAATAAATTTCAATATATTAAAATATAAATTTATAAAGTATATATATTGTATACTGTATATACAGTATATATTTATCAAAACTGTACATTAATAGATAAATAATATCGTTTAAATACAAATATAAATTAAATTAAATACTTGCTTACCTATTACAACTATTTAATCATTATGTTAAAAAGATTTTAAAAACAATATATATAAAATTAAATAGTATTGAATAATCATTGTTATAATTACAATATAAATAATACTATTTTAAACAATTTATTTTATTATTAATATATATATTTTATATACAATATTTTAAAATAATAATATTGTATTTAAATAAATATTATTATTATTATTATTTTATCATTCAAAAAAACAAATGTTTCAAAAAATTATTATTATTTTTTTATAATAAAATACAATATACAGTATATTTTTTTATAATAAAATACAATATACAGTATATTTTTTTATAATAAAATACAATATACAGTATATTTTTTTCTTAATAATATTATTATAAAATTTTAATTTTTTTTTATATATTTCTTTTTTTTTTTAAAATAAATTTTTTATATTTTTGAATATAATCTAAAATATTTTTATTTATAAAGTTAAAGACAAATCTATTTTATTAAAAAAAAAACATATTAATAAATAAATAAATATTTATTTATTTTATAAAAATTTAAAACTTTAAAAAAAATAATTATTTAATTTTTAATACTTTGCTTTATTTATTCAAATATTTGTTTTTATTCTTGCAAGTTATAAACTTTTTTTGCTTTTTCTAAAAAATTTATATATTTTTATTAATTTTTAATTTTTAGTTATACAAGAATTTCTAAATAATACCTATTACAATTAAAAATTAAAACTATTAATTAATATATAATATAAATATAAATAAAATATATAAGAATTATATGTTTTATTTTATATAATAATAAATTCAATTATATAAAAACTCTTTCCACTGATCCCTTTGCCAACCCAAAAAACAGACGTTCTCAAAAATAATTTTTATTTTTGATAATAAAGTCTATATACTCTCCTTAAAAACATTAGGGAGGTGCCAGAAATCACGTGTTTCTTTAGGGAGAGAGGGGGACCAAAGTATCACGTTCTATTTTTTATTAATTAATTATTGCTCAAATTTTTTGAGAAATATTATATTTATATGGACATTATTTAAACAAATTTTGAAACCTATTTATTATATACTATAGTTGGCTATTAGATAATTCAAATGGTATCTATACTAATGCAGCATTACAGTAATGCAGATTAACATTGCTATAATTCTAACCAACACTATATAATGTCACATGTACCATTATTTTAAAAAATTTTCATGTTATATCTGCTTTTAATCACTTGTTTTTTGTCAACATGTGAATAAAAATTCAATTTTACGATCATCATGTACCACAATTCATTAAAAATGATATACATAATACGTATAAAAAGAAAAAAGAAAAAAGAAAATCAATCTAATAATCGATAATATAAATGTTCTGTTTGTATTATTGGAAAGAGAGCTCTCAAGGCTCTCCTTCGGACTGATATGCTCAAAAATCCAGAGATAAATCTTCCCAAGAAGACACTAGTACGTATAGTGTATCCAAAACAACTGAATTGCTGAGTACACTATAAGATATTTCAATGTCTATTTGTGAAGGTAAAGTTGATTTTTGTCTATCATGTTCATTTTTTTGATGTTTTGTTACAAAACTAAGAGTGGGAAAATATTTTCCACACGTTATATAGCAGAGCCAAGAGTGCAATTCACCAGCACTGGAAAGGCAATATTTATTGTATGGAGAAATTTTCGTTCAGTCAGTATACTCAAGTATATGTATTGGATTAAAATAATACTTGTCTTTTCCTTTAATGACAAAAGGAAGAAAGTCATAATTTTCTTTTAATAGAGTTATTGCATCTACTGCTCGAAATTCTCGGCAACAAAATCGGTCTTTGCATTTTTAAAGATCTAGAGAGTACCAGCATAATTGTATGTGTTTCTTGATTCAACTCCAAGTAGGTTCAAACTTGTTTTCTTCTTCAAAGGGGTTGATATGCTAATCAATATATTTATAGATTACTTTTTTTCCATGAATCAAATCTCTCTTTTATATATCATATAGTCTCTCACCCACATACCAAAAATTTTTGTATACTAAATTACTATTTACTATCTTATCCTGACTATTCAAATATGAGCCGAAGTGATCAATAGGAAAGGATATCCTGGCAAGTTTTTCAGAAAGTATTTCTATACCTCGCTCAACTGGATTGTAAGCAGATTGCCCAGGAGCATAGGTCTGCACAGTTAGGTAATCTAAATCTTGGTTTTTAAAAAGCTTAGAATATTCTAAAATATTCTTAAAATGTTTTA